GTCAAGCAGGGGTTGCAGTTTGGATACTCCCCCAATGCGCAGCCCTCCCTGGAGGGGATTGTGGCCAAGGGTGGCATTAGCCTGTTTCGCAGCATGCCCCGGACGCTCGGGATGAAGGTGCCGTACAACTCCCTCAGGATGATGTGCAACGAGTCGTTGGGAAAGGGGTTCAACCCGAGGGGGGATTTTTACTTTTTTTTGGGGTGGGTTTGGGGGGCCCTTGGGGGGGGGGGGACAACCCCCCTTGAGGTTGTCAAGAGGGGGTTACAGATTCAAGGCCTGGGCCCCCCCCTTGGGGAGAGGGGTTACTCGCGGGAGGTGCCAAAGCCTTTTGAGGTGGGTTTCCGGGGGCCGGGGGACCCCTTCCGCGGGTTTTGGCGCGCGAACGGGTTGGGGGGTTTCTTTTGGGGCATGGGCCCTGGGATGTTTCAAGTGGGCCCGTTGTGGGGGTTTTCCTGGGGGGGGTACGAGTCGATAAAGCCCCCCCTGGAAAATTTTGGGTTTGGGGGGGCTGGCCCTGGGTAATATTGTTTTGACGTTTTTGGCCTAAGTAACCCCCCCTCCCCCAACCCTGAAAAAAAGGAGTTATTTGGGTTTTCGGGCCCTTTTCCTGGGGGGGGGAGCCCCCCCCCCCCCCCCCCCCGGCCAGGGGGAGAGAGTGGCACACTCGCTGGAGCCTGGACGCTGCCCCGGCGAGCGATGAGTGCAGTGCGGTGGGCAGTGGCTTGTGGGGGCCTGGGGCGCGGCCCGGGGCCGCCGGCCGACGTTATAATGCTGCCCGGCCGATTAATCGAAGGCTCTATTGAACTGACACCATGCGAGCGACAGACGGCGGCGAGTCTCTCCCACTTACACGTTACACCGACCCAGGTTGAGACATAACACGCACTGACATGGAATGAGCCCCATTTTTGAGAACGCCGGGCACAAGCGGCACCCCAACGCGCAAACATGCGCCCGGCGCGCACGGCCATCGCACGCCCCATCGGTCACCGTACCTCGTCCTGCGACGAGTAGCCGAGCAGCGGGTCGCAGCTCGGCGAGACCGTCCGGTGGCCGCGCCGGAAGAAGAGGCGCCGCGTCGGCGACCGTGGCTGCCCCCGATCGCTGTCCTCCGCGGCGTCCGCGCGCCCGACCTGCTCGCCCGACGGCGGGTGTCGGCGCCGCAAGACGCAGCGAAGGAGGAGGGCGGCGGCGGCGGCCACGCCGCTGCAGAGGAGCAGCGCCTCGCCCGGCCTGCCCACGCTGCTCGGCCACCGCTCGGCCACCTCGCGGTAGGTGTAGGAGAGCCTCGCGTGCCCTGCAGATCCAGCCGGGCGGCAGGGTCGGAGGGTGGGGCGGGCAAGCACAGGGCAGCGAGAGGAGCCCGCCCTGCAGCTGAGGCAGCCAGCTCCTCGGGCCGCCGTCCAGCGCCGAGGGAGGAAGGCGAGGCACAGCCGCGCCGCCGACGGCCGACCAGCCGCTGCTCGTCGAGCTGTTGGCAGCAAGGACGGCGCCGCCTCCGTGCAACGGCCGCGCCGCCGGGCGGCGCGTGGAGGGCGGGAGGCTGTGCGAGAGGAGCCACGACTCGGCGAGGGCGAGCTCCTACGCACGCG